GATTTGCAGGTTAAACTTTCATTTTCGGGATATATGTAGGTTCTTTGGAGCAATAGAAATATTATCGTGTACAAATTTTATATAAGTTCAACAAATATTGAGCGCTTGAATGCAAACAATTTTTGAAAAAATTAGCAATTTTTTTATTTCCAAAACGCTCGGAAACCGCTCGAAAAATTTTGTTTTTGTTTTCTTTAATCAAAAATTTAAGATTTTTCCTTTCATTTGATATATGGAAAGTATTGGTCGAAAACCGCTCGAAAAATTTTGTTTTTGATTTCTTTAATCAAAAATTTAAGATTTTTCCTTTCATTTGATATATGGAAAGTATTGGTTGATATCTTCTAAGTATGTTTATTCGATTCACATATATGGGCATAAATAATTTTCCATACAAAATCACTTCATCGTTTTGCAAACANTAGGAGACAAAAAGTATATGTGTGTAGGTATTTCGGCTTTTGAATAACAAATGGCGCAATATTTATAAAAGCCAAAGGTGAAGGGGAATATGTAGATGAAGAATATGATAAACATAAAAGTAAAAACAAAGATAAATATAAAGAAAATTATGAGGATACCGATAAAAGTAAAGATGAAGATAGAGGAAGAAAGATTAAAGTAAAGGTAATTATAGAGAAAAGGATATAGACAGAGACTCAATCTGGGGACTATTTCGGGATTTTAGAGATTTTCAGAATTCTCCGGACTTATCGATATAATAATCGATATTTTATCGGTTTTGTTATCGATATTTTGTATCGATTTTGTTATCGATATTGTTATTGATTTTGCTATCGATATTTTCGGAACTTATCGATATAAAAAACGATATTTTTTATCGATTTTGTAACCGATTTTTTTATAGATGTAATCGATTTTGTTATCGGTATTTTTATCAATTTTGCTATCGATATTACTATCGATTTTGCTATCGATATTATTATCGCTTTTGATATCGATATTTTTTTCTTAGTGTGTCCTGTCGTTTTTGACTTGGATGTGCTCATAACCATACCACGTACTCTACGTTTAAATTTAGCGGCTGTTTCTCCGATACAGCCTGCAGACCAAGACGAAGGCGCTGGATTGTTCCTTTTTTTTCTCTAGTACATGTGCAAGTGGTTTTTGTATAGCCAAAATTGGACTAAGTTTTCTATTTTATTTTCTTAAAAATTTTCGAAAATTCTCATAACCACGATACATCAATCTTTTGTATAATTTTCCGGAATCCAAATTTGATGGTCTGACATTGTGAAAATGAAACGATTTTCGAGATATTTCAAAATATCGCTCCTTTTTTTGTTATTTCCATGTTAAGTGCATGTGCAAGTGGTTTTATACTTTGAGAGATTTAACAGAAAACGCTGTAGTATCGCGCATAAATCGATTTTCTCATGTGTGAAATGCACTGTCGCTATTTACATATATTCATATTTAGCTGTTTAGTATATTTATAATATTAATAATATTGTTCTTATCTAATTTTATTTATTTCATTTAAGAATGAATTACAAGTTGAGGCTGTTGCTGTAGGCGCCATTCTCTCCGATTACCAGAGAGTACGTGTTGAAAATGTATGTAGTCGTCTAAGTTTGGTCTCGCTGGCGTATCTATGGAGAAGAGACCAAACTGAGTTGCTGCAGGAAATGATTGATTGCCAAGTACATGCCATTATAATAAAGGTAAAGCATTTTACTACTTTTTCTGGACCTGTCGCGGTCACGGATATGATTATAACGTTTTTCCAACAAACAATTATGTGCATACGTATGTATGTAAAATTAAAATTTAAATGCTCACAATTTAAATGGAAGTAAACATATTTTATTTTATTTGTAGATTAATAATTTACAGGATATTAATTCACAGTATATTAAACAAGAGAAAATTAGAATGCCTGTATATTATATTAATCTAATATTTTAAATGATACTATTTCAGTCGGTTCCATTTGTTGAACTGAAAACGATTTTCAACCAAGGCGAATTCATATAAGGTGGTATCGATTCAACAAATACAACAGTTACTTGTATTCCCACTTGTCAAATTTCAGCTATTCTTCCCCGAAATAAACGGGCGACAGAAAATGGAAACATTCTCACGTTTTCACTCACTCACTAGCAAAATACAACGATTTTCAACCAAGGCGAATTCATATAAGGTGGTATCGATTCAACAAATACAACAGTTACTTGTATTCCCACTTGTCAAATTTCAGCTATTCTTCCCCGAAATAAACGGGCGACAGAAAATGGAAACATTCTCACGTTTTCACTCACTCACTAGCAAAATACAACGATTTTCAACCAAGGCGAATTCATATAAGGTGGTATCGATTCAACAAATACAACAGTTACTTGTATTCCCACTTGTCAAATTTCAGCTATTCTTCCCCGAAATAAACGGGCGACAGAAAATGGAAACATTCTCACGTTTTCACTCACTCACTAGCAAAATACAACGATTTTCAACCAAGGCGAATTCATATAAGGTGGTATCGATTCAACAAATACAACAGTTACTTGTATTCCCACTTGTCAAATTTCAGCTATTCTTCCCCGAAATAAACGGGCGACAGAAAATGGAAACATTCTCACGTTTTCACTCACTCACTAGCAAAATACAAAATTTTGACAATCAAACACCACTCACAGCTGATGAAACAACACCACCTCATATAAATTCGCCTTGATTTTCAACTATAAAATATTTTCTTAACAATTTACTCCTACACATCATTCGACCTCGACTGATGAAGTCCACAGTACCTGTTTTCCTTGGCATATCATGGTCCCCAACTTTCTCTACTTCATACCTCCCATGCCTTAAACAGTTAGTTACTTTACACGGTTCCAAATATTTTGGTCTTAGTTTCATTTTTGTACCATATTGGGTACGCAAAATATCTACTAAGTCATTTTCCTTGTAACTATTTTCCCCCTTCTTGTTTATATTAAAATGTTTCTTGTTTTTTAAATATACATGCACGCTTCTTTACGAACCTCTATCTTTCAAACATAAATTCTTCCAAATCTTCTTTTTCAATCAACTCACGAATACCTGATAATTTTTCCGTCCTCATCTCAGATCCAGTAAGTAAAGTAAATGGAGCTACCTTCGTACATCGCGAAGGTGTTGAATTCAGCGTTTTTTACAACTTATCGATATACTTATACCAATTTTCAGGATTCTGATGACTAAGCTTAGCAAGCATTGGTACAATTATACGATGAACTCTGTCCATCCCCCTAGGAACACCAGTCGTAATCAATAAATGTTGTATATTACCTTTCTTACTCTACTCACCAAAAGTAAAAGCTGTACCACGATCTGTAATTATCCAAAAACTATAGCTTGCTTTTCTAATTTTCCCACCACTCCCTTCGCAGCGCAATTCCTTGTAGGATACAACCAAGTAAATTTAGAAAAGGCATCTACAACAACCAAAATGCAACAATTTTTATTCGTTGCTTCCATCCTCTTTATCTATTGCACTTAAGTAATAGGGTGATTCAGAAAAAAAATTTTCTTTCTTTTTCCTCGGAACCATGCTCAAAAGTTTCGTTTAGACACCAAAATAAGTCTCGGAAAATATGAGTCCCTAATATTAATATTAAGAATGTCCACATCGCACTTTTCGATTTCCCATAAGAATAACACAGGAAAAATTATTTTTTTTACTTCTGCTTTTTATATTTAACGAACGATAATTGTTATCATTTTCGTCTTAAAATAAACGTCCGGCGAGATAAAAAAAATAAAAGTCCCACTTAATTAATTTGAGAAGACGTAAATCATTTCCGTCTTGAAATAAACGCCCCGCGAGATGAAAAAAAATATAAAAATCCCATATAATTATTATGAGAAGACGTAAATCATTTTCGTCTTAAAATAAACGCCCCGAGAGACGAAAAATATAAAAATCCCATATAATTATTATGAGGAGACATAAATCACTTCCGTCCGATACATCAGTATCAGAAAGAACCTTATGTGGTGTAATAATTTCAATATGTTTAATATCTTTTCGATTAAAATCGAATATTACATTCATATGCTAAATGCTATGATTAAAGTATTGCTACCTTTCGATAATTCAAATTAGCAAGAAACCGCGATGTGTTTTGAAGCGTGCTTTGACAGATGATTAGCCATGCCATATTTGAAAATCAGTGGCAAGGCGAGTTCACACTTTTAGCAGGTGTTGCCAATCGGCCCTATGCTGAATATCGTCATCGTCATCGTCGACGATCGTCAGTGCATCAGTAACATGGCTAGGGTTGCCAACATTTGGTAAGATATTTATAGTACTTTTTCAAAAAAAAAAAACTGAAAAAATATAGTACACTTACAATATATATAGTATTTTATTTAAAAGAACAAAGTAAGTAAACATCATTTTCTCAATATAGTTCTTTGCACTTTTGGTAGTTTTTCACAATTCCTTGTTAACCACGAAAGTGTTATATGCTTTATCACAATCAATATATAAATTAATATAAATCAAAAGTTAATTTTTTGTTAGTGAGGTAATCGCTTTGTTTCTCTCATCTCGCCATTTCACATCCATAACAGAAAAAACTCTTCCAGTGAATGCCGAAGTAGCAAGAATAGAGAGTAGAAATGAAATAGTTTTAAGTAAATTTGGTAATTCATCATCAGTATTTTAAAAAAATGTTCATTTTGAAGAATATTTCTTTTAATATTGGTATTTCAGTATAAAGATCATCCATTTTAATTCACATATTATCTTACAAATTAATGACATATACTTATTTTTATAATTGTAGAAATATAGTATTTTTGCGTAATATATTTTTTTCAACAGTATATAGTACGCAGACCGAAAAAATAGTACAATACTATAGATTATAGTACGGTTGGCAACCCTATTGTAACATGGCTGACGATGGCCGTATCGTCACTTTTACTGACGATGACGATAGGGCGGAATATTCATCAATTAAATAGAAAATAAATAATATAAAAAAAACTTTTTAATATACAACGCTTTTATAAATGGACTAAAAAGTAGAAAATAATACTTCTCAGTCCCATAGAATTTGTTTTGATAACTTTTGATTTTGAAATTTTAGCAAAAGTCATTATAAACAATCTATGAAATTGAAAATGAAAAACGTGGAGCGCATGCAATACAAAGCATTCGATTTAGTTGACAATAGTCAAACTACATAACGTAGACCTAAAATTTCTACAGCGAAAGTAGAACTTTGAAATCGATTTTAAGCGGTCGTTATTCATATACCCACATACATACATACATATATTACTTTTCATATCAATTCAAGTGTAATACATGCGTCCCACGCTTTTCATTTTCAATTTCATAGATTGTTTATAATGACTTTTGCTAAAATTTCAAAATCAAAAGTTATCAAAACAAATTCTATGGGACTGAGAAGTATTATTTTCTACTTTTTAGTCCATTTATAAAAGCGTTGTATATTAAAAAGTTTTTTTTATATTATTTATTTTCTACTTTTTAGTCCTGTCTGAATAAAATTTTGCAATAGATATTAAAATAATTCAACGATATTAATAGAAAGGTGCACACACATGCATTTACATATGTATGTACATACAAACGAGCACCAATTAATTTTATTTAAAGAAATGGCGTGTCGTCTATTTCCGGTGTAGCAAACGTAGTACATAGGGCGACATCTAGATGTCATCTACCTCGCCCTATTCACTATGCTTTTTTATAGGAGCTTTTCAAAGCTTTGCTTTATGGTGTCGGACACACAACATTGAAAGCTTCTGGAACACAACATTGAAAGTTTCTGGAACACAACATTGCAAGTTGATAAAAGCGTTGTAAAATTGAAGAAAGGGTGATAATAACCTAACCATAGGCTTGTGAAATGGACCATTTTAAAAAGAATTGGACCAATGGACCAAACGAAAAGAAATGGACCAAATTTTGTCCATTTGGACCAAAACGGCAACCGTGNTGAAATGGACCATTTTAAAAAGAATTGGACCAATGGACCAAACGAAAAGGAATGGACCAAATTTGGTCCATTTGGACCAAAACGGCAACCGTGGTTGTGTGATGTATGCGTGTAGGGGTTTTTTTTTGTTTAGTTTAAGCAAAGCAAACTGTGCGACCGTTTGCACGCACATATATATGAATGTATATGCATTTTGTTTTACTTAGTCCCCTTTCAGACACGTCAAGTCTTGAAAGCAATTTTTTTCGCATTCTCTTTTGTGTTTTCTATTTGCTTCCACACGCGTCAACTTTAATTGAATTCAAGTCCTTGGTTCTTTAAATGGGAAGCAACGAAAAGATCAAAAGAGACAAGAAAACTTGAAACGAATTGACGGTACGGAGGTATCTGTACTCTTCCCCTCTCTTCTCATCTCCTTCGCCTACGAACGAGCAGACATGAAAGCAAGACTTGACGTGTCTGAAAGGGGACTTTAATACATATTAACGGAACAATGCTTTAAACTTTACTAACGTTCTTCTTAGCAAAAACAAACCTTTGTGTTACGTTTGCAGATTTTTTTGGGTGTATCGATGAGCTTTTGTGCTTTCAACACATGCTCAAAATGTGATATCAAGAATGATAGAATTCTCTGGATCGTGGCCGACACTGATATGCATACATATGTATAGTAGCGTAGCGTAGAAGTACGTAGAAACTTATCAAGT